AAGTTACTATCCTATTGCACACTGTCTCTCTATCTGCGAAAACTAACTAATAAGAAGCTTAACACTAGAAGTCTTATATTACTTCCACTCGAGCTATACTCTTAACACTAACCTATACCCAAGGTCTATGCAACTATAACCTAACCTCTACTAAACTCTATAGTAGAGAATACCCGTTTACTAGCCTAAAATATTAGATTATAGATATACATTTAATATTTTTTAATAATATAAGATATTATTAAAATATATAAGTAGTAGATTAAAAGTAATCTACTATCTATCTAATATATCTTATATAAGTAACTACTAGTAAAGTTATAACTATTTTTTCTTAGATACTTTAGTAATAAAACTCTTCTTTATAGATCTATTAGCTTAAGAGTTACTATGAGTTTTTAGCGTCGTACTAAGCTCTTAGCGAGCCGCTAACCTGTTAGCGCGAAGCTCATCGCCAGAGTGTCTGACTTGTGAGATAACCGGCGACGTGCGCCTTCTAGTGCTGACATACCTTGTAAGCGCTAACTCTTCTCGATCTGCACGTGTGTGGGTCGATGTATGTACATGTAACATCGTTCAATTCTCTATAAGAAGTGGAGACTTTCGTAGCGCTGATACTACTATTCACCTTGTGCATCCCTTGTACATCGCACTTGTAAACACAGCCAAGATGGTTCTCAAGGTCTATGGCTCCGCCATGGCCACTTCCCGTGTTCTCACCACACTCATCGAAAAAGAGTTGCCGTACGAGTTCATCAAAGTCGACATATCAAAGGGCGAACAATACCACGAGGATTATAAGAAGTTGCAGCCATTCGGCAAAGTGCCAGTTCTTGATGATGATGGCTTCATCATGTATGAGAGCAGAGCCATCTGCAAGTATCTTGATAAGTAAGGAACATGCGAACTTCCGCTTCGAGGGTAGTGGATTATCTTGAGCGAATTGACACTGACTTTCTATCATCCAGAAAGTACCCGTCCGGCAAGAAATTGATTCCTGAGAGCGACGCTGCAGCTTATGGCCGCTTCGAACAGGCCTGTTCAATGGAGCAAAGCTACTTCGCTACAGCGGCTGAGACTGTTGGAATCGAGCTTTTCATCAAACCGTATGAACTCCGATTCCATCCCGTCTTAAACGACGAGTTCACTGACCGTTGTCATAGGATGAAAGGGCTAGGCGAGCCAGATATGGTGCGGGTCGCGCAGGCGGAGGCAGACTTCGATAAGGTCCTAAGTGTATATGAAGAGATACTGGCGAAACAGAAGTACCTTGCTGGGGATAAGTTCACTCTGGCCGACTTGTTCCATCTGCCGAATGGCGCAGCTATGAAAGCTGGGAAATGGAACGAGATATTTTCGAAGCACCCTAACGTAGACAGATGGTTCAAGGGTTTGCAGGCCAGGGAATCTTGGGTGAAAGCTTCTGCACAGGCGGGAGCAATCCCCTGAGGTCGATGCATATCTGACGTATGTAGCATCGACTTTCCGAATTATCTTTTGGAGTGGTGAGCTGTGTACTTTATCTAGCGACCTCTTTCATATATGGTTCTAGAAATATATGTGAAAGTTGGTGAGCAGTTAACCCGACTTATATCACAGAGATACAGGATTGGTGAGATTAAAAATATCATCTTATCTTTGACGTGAGCTAAATTAGAAGGCGCTTAGGGGAAGGAGAAAGCACGTATGTCTTTTGTTATCATAGTATCGTGGGTAGCAACAATTTTCCACTGCAACTACCTGTCTCCCAATATCTAGAACACGGCCTCAGCGTGCGTCATAATTTTTAAAATCTCAAATCACCGACTCAACCTACTGACAATCTCAACGATCTAGGGTTGGGAGCGAATTTCACGTATTCTGATTGATTGTCGGACGTCGGCGACCTTTGTCCGTCCATGCTGAAGTTGGTCGTGTAATTGCCCCAGTGGTTAAGGTCCCTTCTCCACCCTCAACATTGTCATTTTTGGAGAGTGTACATCACTGATAGGGAGTGGCACTGAGTCGTTCTATTCCCCGCAACCCCGCATTCAATCAGCTAAGGTCGCGAAGCTAGGGTTATCTTATCTTGCAGCTCGCATCTCGTTTTGCAGAAAACCCCTGCACAATACTAGCTCGCCATTCTCCAGCCAAGGCGCCACATCCGCATCGATCGGTGCAGTCGGGACGGGACGTGACGAAGCTTTAGGTTCGTCAACAAGTGTTTTCTTGGGATTGATATAGCTGGTGTGTTATGGGACGAAGTTTGGTAAATGAGAGGCAAGTCTCTTGTGGCAATGAGACGACGAGTATCTTAAAATGGATAGCTCTTTCCTCGTCTCACCGGTTCGGCACCTCGCTCTTGGCTTTTTCAGAAGCGCTCCTTCAAAATACCGATGGCCAGCCCTTTGCTGATTTCCAACAGACGCTTACGGCATAGGTGGACGCCGCACCGCTGGGGCGGCCCCAGATCCCACCTTGGCGGCCGCTGTGGGTGAGCCGCTCTGGGACGCCGCAATACGGTGGAAGGTGGCCAAAAAGGTGCTTGACTCTGATTTGCGGGTTAATAAAGGTTTCAGTAGTGGCCTACATAGTGTTGACATTCGAATCTATGAGAAGGGCCCCGCCGGCGCAAAAGATGTCTCCTAAGGTGACGAAACCCTTACTCACCCGCGGGGACGTCTCTCATAATCCTCAATTGAAGGATTTAACGGTTTGCTATCGCTTGAAACCGTGCCTACTAGTCCCCACATAAAATATTGCGCTCATTGCGGCGAGGGCGCTGCAGCGGTGCGGCGTGCACCCGTGGCTTACGGAGTACTTACTTCATGCAGACAATTACCGCTTAGCTATATACTATGGGCTCGAACGTGGGCCAAATCATAGGCCAAAACATTTCTTCCTAGTCGATCAGCGCAAACGGGTGTTCCAGCTTTTAAATAAGGCCGAAGCCGCCTTCTTTAGTCATTGCGGGGGTATCTCAAGATGCCGGCCACCACAAGGTTTACAGCAACTCAGCAAGATGGGAACAATGCAGCCGAAGGCTAGCAAATGTCCCCATTACAGGCTAATAGTAGCGCATCGACCGTGTTTGCGAACCCGGACGAAGACTGGAGGGATTTGACAGACTTTGAAGAGCGCCGCCGCATACAGAGCAGAATTGTTCAACGTCTATACCGTAAGTAGGTTACTAATTTCTTAGGGCCTATTCGGTTGCGCGTTTTGCGGTTGCGTTTTTAATACCTATTCAGGTATAGAGCTTAGGCAGAGGTTATAGCAGAGGATCCTAGCTAGTATCGTAGTTTTACTTTTCTAAATTAAAATAGAAAATAAAGGGGTAGTTTAGTAGAGGTTTTGCCCTTTTAGTTCTTAATAACTTTATTATTCTAGATAACCTATACTATTATAGATTTACTATTAAAATAACGTTATGATATACTAAATTAATATTATAAAGCTTTACGTAGTAATTACTCTCTATAAGCTAGCTACTAGAGTCTACGTAGATAAGTGTTACAAGTAACAAGAAGGATTCTCTCCTTGACAAATGACGAGATGGCTGAAGGCCTATGGACGTCCACGTCAGAAGGTAATAATCATCGCGGGGCGAAGATCACGTGATTGGCTTCACGCTAAGACTAAGAAATCGGCGCTAGTATGTAAGGACACTCCTATACGTGACTAGGTGTCTTTAGAGGCTTTAGAAGATATAAGAATTATTTCGTGAGGACTGTGAAGCCAGGACTAGAAGCGGCGAGGATATAAGGATAGATAGATTTCATTATTACTCTTATTATAGTTAACTTAAATTATACTTTTTTACTAGTTACTTTACTTAATAAGATTGTTACTCG